GATAATAATAATAAGAAGAAAACGAAGATGTAAGATGTAATGAGGGATTTAGAGAAAAAAGGAGAGATAAAAGAAGTAATAAAAGACGGTTGTATCGTGAAATGTTTAAATTTAATACCGAAATTCCACGTGTTGCTATCCACGAGACTTTTGGATTTCAGCCAAATAAGTGTCGTTGATTATCTGGAACCTTACAGAGATATCTACTAATAATATCCTGTCAATTCTCGTATCCTGATCGCGATAATTCGATCGAAATTTTGTTGATGATCATTTCTGGTAAATTGTACATCGAGAAGACAATAAGAATTCGCGTTTCTAGCAATAAAATTATTCCAACACACGATGTTTTTTATTTATTTTAAATATATAATTTTTTGACGACGACGATCGAATTTAATCTTGGCAATATTGAAATATCGATAAATGAAGTTAATTGCTCTGTAAATAATTTTCAAAATATTTGATCAAAGCATTCGTTCGTTCCATATTTACTTTTACATTTAATTGTCGTTTCTCAAACAATGCGAAAATAAATTAACGAGCGTTAAAAGGAAATGGTAAAGCAAATGGTTGAAACGTTAAGACAATTGTTCCACGAGTAATTGCGAGGAAAGAAAATAATGGCGATCGATCGACCCTCGTTAATCGACATTGCGCGAATTTTTTCACAGAAATGTTTCTCATACTGTCATTTACTTCTTTCCCTCCTCGTTAAGAATTTCTAAGTGCAAGTCAAATGAATCTTCCATACAATTGTCATTTCTTTTTAATGTATGCTTAATAATAGGACAGATATCGAAATAAAATTTTTCTTCTCCGATTTTTTAATGAAGACTAAGTTAAACATTTGATATTTAGTAGCAAAATATTTATTTTCAAATTCTGTGCAATTACTGTTTCACATTTTTTATTTTAGAATTTACAATAAAAAATTACACGCGAAGGCCTCGTACATTGGATTCCATCATGACTATAATGATTAATATTTTCATATCAAATTTGTGGAGAAAATATAATAGTTCAAGAAATATGTTTCACAGTTTTGATCAGTTCTGAATATTCTGAAATAATTTATGACTTTTTACGTAACAACATCGCATTTGAAAAATTAACTTTCTCTAGCCTGTGAAATAATATCAATAAGGATGCAATTTATATCATCATTCTCGAATTATATCACCCTCTTTCTCATCTCGAAGCTTATCGAGCGATGAACAATTCGAATGTTCGAAATTTCGCATTTCCTAGCAGATTCTCGGCTATCATCTTCAGTTCAGTTTGTATATTAATATAAATTTCGATGAACTTTCCGGTGGAAAGGGCAACGAATAATATTTCAGCGCATTGATAGAACCGCGGATAACCTTTTCCATTGGATACCGATAATGATTCCCCGTTTAATGAAACTGGAGAATACACGAAGCGTGATAAACGAAAACGAGATACCAAATAAGACGAACTTTTCTGATAATGATACTTTTTCTGAATACGTGCTCGAAACGATAATGATTATTCTTTAGAACAATCATTAGGAAGTTTAAATGAAAAAATTTAAATCGAAATAAAAAGTTCGTATTGTTCGTTTCGAATTTTAATTATTATTCTATTAATTTTTATCCTATAATTATTGCATATTTTTGAAGAAAATTAATTTTCCTCGAGGCATGGATATATTTATATATATACTTGTTTATTTTCGTCGTTTTAATTTTCTGCATTTTCGTAGATTCTTATACAAAATTTATACGAATATGACTAAATTTTCTTTATTCCTTAAATATCGCTATACTTTATGTTTTTTTTATCATATATTCCGAAAGTTTTTAAAGAAAGTACAAATTTCAAATTTTGCAGTAAGTGCAAAAACGAGTTGTATCCGCAATCTAATTATAAATAAATTCCAGAACGATCAAATGAAATCAACATCAAAAATATCTCTCTTTATTTTAACAGAAACTTGTACTTTTTTAATTTAAACTTTGCTTTGGATACTATTATCTATTCGAGTAAATAAAGATTTTCTAAATAAAATCCTATTTTTTTTTTCGGAACAAATAAAGCGCTAAGTTTGCCAATTACCAATTTTCTCGGGCGATATTTATTACATATGTTTAGAAAAAAAAAAAAAGGAGATGAAATTCGAAAATGGGCCGTGAAAACGTGACGCACAAACAGCGCATCGTATTTACGAATATGAATCGAGATTCTCGTTGCATCCGTCCGCTATGGTTGTAGTTGATACGAGCTTATGCAAAGTAGCGAGCCGAGCATAGAACGTGCCGCTTTCATGGAAATCAACCTCTTCCAATGATTCGAGTCGGGGGAGAAAAGTTGCATTTTTTAATGGAACGTGCCGTAATGGGAGATCTTCCGTGCAAAATCCATAAAGCAAATTGGAAACGACATGGAAACCGGAAAATTTACAAATGATAAAAAAAAAAAAATAAAATAAAATAAAATAAAATGGAGAAACGAAGAATTTTATCTGATGGATATATATTTATACTCATTCAGTGTGATTCAGAACTCTTTTTTCAGAAATCATTCTTGATTTCTCTGATTTTTTTAAGAACAAATTCATATTTTTAAAGATCTTTTTCTCCATAACACTTTATCTCGTCGCTTACTCCGCATCGTCTCCTTTATCAAATCCTTATCATTCATAATTAAATTCTCAAAACTTAAAGTTATATAATATGCCTCCAAATTAACCATTGTTAAGCATTTGGATATTCTCATCCATTCATCACCCGCGATACCACTATCTCCCATAAATTATTCCTAAGCTGAGCAACATTAAGATCCTTAACAATAGATAACTTGTTGAACTTGTAAGCACAACTAAAACCTTAATCCTCTTACACAAAGATCCCTAAATATATATGTAATCATCGTTTAGCCTCTCTCTTATTATTTAAATTACTTCGTACATTCTTAATAAAATTTCTCTTCTCAAAGGAGTACGATTTAAAAAAAATTAACGAAACAATCATCGAACCTTAAACCTGATCTCTCACGTTCAGATTCTCCAACAAGATTCTCGTTTCTGAACTCGACTCGAATAACGGAGCGAAAAATCAAAACGAATCCGTCCAAATTTGTTACAGCAATTGAAACGTTTAACCATCCAGGACACGTTTAGCTTAGTTTCGTCCATTCGTTCCCGTAAACATTCGAGAGTTACAGGGAACACCTGACGCGATTTCGCGAAGAGATCTCGAGTTTCTGTTTGCTCAGTTTACGAACGTGGTGGTGAGCTTGCGGTTTTCCAAAACGCCAAACTCTCAAGTCGACACATAGCTTGTTCTCTTCCCTGCTCTCTCCCCCTTCTCCTCGAATCGTCAACGAGATTTATAGCTTTCTCAACCAAAATTCCTCTTCTTGTTCTCTCCGTGGATGTGTATTCCGTCAGAAGTTGCGTTGTTGTTCGAGAAGAAAATGATCTCGTGCGTCTTTTGTAGAATAAGAGGCATGTATTAATAGGGAGATAAAAGTGACAGGATAGAAAAGAATTTATATTAAAGTTTGCTTACTTGCGCAAAGGAAAAATTAATATTTTGCTTCGCTTAAGAATATTTTTCTTTTTCTCCGTGATTGTACATCATTTTCGAATTTTTTAAATATTTTATATATTTTTAATATTATAAAACATCATAAAAATATTAAGTTGATATTAAATTGTTAGGGTTCATTTGATTGAATAGGGAAAGTGTTACATAAGATTGCACGTAAATATCGCTATTAATTTACTTTCGAGATAATAAATTATTTGGAAAATTGCTGTATTATCTGTAACTTCAATTTTATGAGATTCACGTAATCGTCACTAATCACTTAGACACATTTCAAGACTTATCTTAGAAAATTGTACAATCATTCAATATTGTTATTTATTGAAGTTATTTATTGAGTGTATAGTGTATATTTCGGATGTTCCAGTGTGTTTGCGCAGGTTTAATTCAACGTTCTGCGTCAATTGTGTAATAATAAACGTGAAATTTCATCCGCGGACAGGAAAAATTGGAAATTGTTTGCAATAACAAGGTAAACAACTGTTTACTTGTTAATCTCGGTTATTTAAATGAATAGTTAATTAATCGTGTAGAACATGTAATTGTTTAATATTTGCACGTATCCAAACACGTACGACGATTCTAAAATAAAGTTTCGAAATAACGAACGAAACTTTTTGAGTCGGCAAAAACTGATTAAATTGTATTTGCAGAAAATTAATACATTTAAGAGGATATAAAAGCTACGATTGGAAAAGTAGATATAAAAGGCGATAAAGAGTTTGAAATTAAAGCGATTCAAACTTTTCAATCGCTCCCTTTCTCCTATATATATATAAATCTTATATAAAAAAAAAAAGAAAAAACTGCTACACAAATTGATTCTATTGTTGTCGATAATCGATTCGAAACCTCGGGCAATTTGATCTCAAGGTTTTTTTTTTTGTCAATATAAAGGCAAGAAATTTAATTTCTTCACGCATGGAATTCCGTAAATTCTTTCCAAGGAATTCATTTTCAAAAGAAATCGATTCCGTGGAACCTTAAATCTTAAAAATCTAAAAATCCATCTTTCCTTCTGTTCCAGATTTGTTCCGGAAAGCAGCATCAACAGTGCAAACCAGTGACTTTCGAGTTATCGCCGGAAGTGCGATCGTTTCACGGCTGACGGAATGACGTCGGCCCCGTCCTCCGCATCGTCGTCGTCGACGCAGCCATCCCTCGTCTGTCCCTCGATTCCCGATAGAATACGCGCGCTTAACCAGTGAAAACCGATCCAACCCTTCAACACACGAACACACGAACACACAAGAAATCTTGGAGGATTCTTTCGTTCCCTCGTGGCGATGATCCATCTTCCCTGAGTGATCGATCACAGACAGATTTCTGATCAGATCCGCGACATAAAGCGAGCGAAAAATCTCCACGACGCGGAGAGAAAGAAGAAGAAATATAAGCGGTTTTAAGAAATTTTTTTTTTTCGAGGAAAACAATTTAATAAACAAGTATTCGAAATCAAGATGAACGCCACGATGACAAGCACGATAACAACCATGATAAGCGGCACGAGTATCGATTACTCTCAGATAACGAGTCAAGAGGACTCGACTATCCAGAACTGCGAGGCCGATCTGCCGATCATTTCGTTGGTCAACCAGATTCTTTACTCCATCGTCTGCATCGTCGGCCTCCTGGGCAACACACTCGTCATCTACGTGGTGTTGCGATTCTCGAAAATGCAAACCGTAACGAACATGTACATCGTGAACCTGGCGATAGCGGACGAGTGTTTCCTGATAGGTATACCGTTCCTCGTCACGACGATGAGTCTGCGCAGTTGGATATTCGGGAAGATAATGTGCAAGGCGTACATGACCACAACAAGTATCAACCAGTTCACCAGCAGCATATTCCTCTTCATCATGAGCGCGGATCGTTACATCGCCGTTTGCCATCCGATCTCCTCGCCTAAAATTCGGACGCCGTTCATCTCGAAGGTGGTCTCGTTGACGGCCTGGGCAACTAGCGCGCTCTTCATGATACCTATATTCCTGTACGCGAACGCCATGGAATCCGAGAAAGGGATCAACTGCAACATCTACTGGCCCAACGATCGAGGAGGCCACACCACCTTCACCTTGTACACGTTCATCTTAGGCTTCGCCATCCCATTGATGCTCATACTGATCTTCTACTTCCTCGTGATCAGGAAATTGCAAACGGTGGGGCCGAAGAACAAGTCGAAGGAGAAGAAACGATCTCATCGCAAAGTGACGAAACTCGTGCTCACCGTGATCACGGTTTACGTTCTGTGCTGGCTGCCCTACTGGCTGATGCAGGTGGCGCTCATTTACACCCCGCCCAAACAGTGTCAGAGCAAGATCACGATCACCAGCTTCCTGCTCGCCGGTTTCCTCAGTTACAGCAACAGCGCGATGAACCCGATCCTGTACGCGTTTCTAAGCGATAATTTTAAAAAGAGTTTCTTGAAAGCGTGTACCTGCGCCGCTGGCAAGGACGTGAACGCCACGTTGCACATCGAAAACAGCGTGTTTCCCCGCAGGAACAAGGCGAACGCGGACAAGCTTCAATCGAATCGGTTGGTCGTATCCGGCCAATCGAGGCTGGAGTTGGAGGACGAGGACGCGGAGAGGGGGCTGTTGATCAGCAAAACTTCCACGACCACGGTGACCATGACGTCACGATCGAACATCACCATAGGCAATGAGCCGAAGGAGCAGGGCCAGAGGGAGAAAGACGCGTTGAAGAACGGGGTGCAGCTGACGTTGTTGACTCAAGTGTAGATGAAGGGTGGGTGAGGGGGAATTCAACGAAGTAGTATGGAAACAACGGTCTATAATTCTTCTCCTCGTCGCGGTGGACCAATGAGCCTAGGATTCGTCGCGCGTGGAGAAAGAAAAAAGGGAGAAAGGATTTGTTTCTTTAAGAGGAGTTTTAATATCGTACGATATTAGAAAGGATTTTTATTATGATATCATCGAATTTTTATTCACATTTGTCCTCGTGATCGTGGTACCAAAAAAGTTTCTCGAGCGTTAACCGACTGTAAATGTCCGTTTCCCGTATTTATTTTCGAGGGGTTAAAAGGAGAAAGGACGCAAGGAATGGGAGGAAATCGGTTGAGAAATGAAATGAAGCGTTTCTTGACCCGAGCCGTTACTCTTCGATAGAAATATAGGTCAAGAGCAACATGGGTGTTTCGCGTAACTTTGCCAAGAACGTCAAACTTCTCGATATCCATAAATGCAGAGATATTGGGCGAACTAACCTCTTTTGGAAGAAGCTGAAGAGGCGAGACTAATCTCCTTACAGGAAACCGTCGTTCGTGGATCGAGCATGAACGTTAATTGGAAAGTACAATCATCCCCCAATTTACATTGTTTCGAATTTAATTGTATCTTCACATTCGTGTATTCCTGTTAATAACATGAACGTTATTTCAGAAAATATTAATATATATATCGTCACAATATCCGTGAAGAACGTGAAAAGACAAGTCGAAATTCTTCTCTATTTTCTTTTCTTTCCGTAAGTGGAATCAATTATATTAAATACGTGAGTTCGGGGGATGATTTGTACCAATATGCATCGATGTATATTCGTGAAACAGTTTTGAAGAATCGATTCTAGAAGCAAAAAAGAAAAAAAGAAAGATTGGAATACAAAAATTTCCATCCGATCAATGAAATGTTAAACTTGACATTTTTGTGTAACAATTTCCATTCGTTCCTCCAAGATCGATCTTCCATGTCTTTCACGAATGCATTTCGCACACCTCGTATAAATTAACCAAGAAAAAAAAAATATATCTTGTATATACCATACAATTAACATAATCATCGATCGATATCGATCGTTTCAGCGAAGAGGAAACGAACGATTCCCGGTGCCAAACAAAAAACGAAGCCACGTTTCGAAAGAGGAGGCGTCTTATCAGCGACGCACCTTTTCACGAAGAATTCTATTCGATCCACGGGTCAAAAGAAGATCAACACGCCACATCCACGAGGGGAGGAACGAATTCTCTCCGGGGACAAAACGCGGCTCGCATAACCTTCTTCTTTTTATTTTCCTTGTCCATTATTTCCACTCGTTCGACCCTCCTCCTCCATCCTCCACCCTCCACCCTCGTGACAACACGTGCGTTGCGCAGGAGAGGGGGGAAATCGTGGCGGATCGAGATCAAATTATTTCCGAGACTCTCGAGATGAATATCTCGCGAGCGATCTCGAGAGATTTGCGGCCGCGTTTCGGGTATTTTATCGGCGTGTTTCGGATCGATTTAGTTGGTGGAAGATTTGGAACGATGAAATTTGTATGTAAATCATGGGACGGAGGCGAATATTCAACGACGCGTTACGAAGAATTTATCGGTACTAAGTTAGGAATTATTAAATCACGAATCGAATTCCTGAAACAGAGGATCAATGTATTATTGCATCGAAGTGAACACCAAAAGAAAAAAAAAGAGAAAAAAAAGAAAAAAAATGAAGTTTATTTACTTGATTTGTTGGTGTTGTGTCGTTTAGATTAGATAGAGAATTGTGATTCTTATTTGACTCGATGGAAGTTTAAAAGACGAAAATTCGTGTGCATTACACCAATAGTATTGTTAGGTTGTCCTAAATGAAAATGAAAGTAAAAATTTTGGGAACGTAAAAAGTTTTTTAATTAACTCGTTACAAAAAAATTTTTTTGCAAGGAAGATAGTATAAACACTTTTAAAAATTTTGTACAAGTCTGAGCGACACAGCTTGAGATTAAGAAATATAAATTTTGAAAATCTTTATTTCAAGTATTAAACTATTACGTAATTACTTTCTGGACAACCTAATAAATCATTTCACGAGAATTGAGTGAATTCGATCAACTTTATGACTATCAATTGTCTTATGAAAGAACAAGAAAAAAAAAGAGAATCGTATCAATTTTCTGTACTTACATAAGTCGTGTAATGTAAAATAAATTAATTAGCGCATAAATGTATAAAATCTCGAGAAGGAACGAGTTTGTATTCGCAAGTGACACGTTGAAAAATTGAAAGAAAAGAATCCATCGTGTTTTGAAGAACAAGAATCATTGGCTTTAATAAAGAAAGATCAGTAAGAAATAAGTAAACTGCAATGGTAACATGATGTTACCGATTCAACGCAGTTTTTTCCGTTAATTTCGATATTATATACAATTGAATACAGAGAAAAATATACTCGTGAAAAAATAGAATTAAAAAGGAAATTTTTATATTCATCATCATTGACGTTAGAGATTTCCTCTGAAAATTAATTTCAAAAAATGATATTACAAGAATTGATATTTCTCAACAAATTAATATAATATCGAATAGTACCAATATTGGTATCATTAATTTCCATATTTCCAATTTACTATTATCAAATTTTCGAAATAAATTCACAAACGTCACCGTTTCAAATTTTCAAATTCCGATTCGTTCCAATTTTCAACGCGCAGCAATAAATTATCGAACGATGTAAATATTAATATATCTCAAATTTTCCAAATTCCGTTTTATTCCAACCATACAATAATTGATAACAAATTGTCAAAAGTACATTGTTGCAACTTCGAAACATCGAAACGGAACAATTCCTATTGGAACGAAGAATCCAATACGTCGAGAACAACGATCGAGCCAACTTAAACAATTGAGCCTAAGCTTCCATTCTGGAAACTCTGACTATTATACAAACGCGGCGTCAAAGAAGAAGACTTAAGGCTGTTTACACAATCGGATCAGTCGTAAAACAGGCTTTCAACGTATCACGTGCGAGCACAATTTGTTTCGGCTCGCTAATTTCGACACACTGCAAGAAATACTGTAAAGAACGAAGCATTACGTGGCGTGTTTCTTCGCGATATCCATGGGGACGAGGATTTCAAAGAAAAAAAAAGGGCGTAAAAAGCTGTAAAAATGTTGCTGTAAAAATAATTATTTCGAACTGTCAGAACGAATGAAGGAATGAATCTAGAGATTTGTTCTTGTAACTGTGTGGTGAGAATGAGAATGAGAGAACGAGAAAATGTTCCTTGTTTTTTTTTTTTAATTATCTATTGATTATTGGATCGTCGATACGAAAGGGTTGAACAATACAAGAAGTGAACAATGATAATGGTTGTCGATATTTAATTGTATCGAGCGAAAAGATATTTTTGAAAAATTTGAAATTGAAGTGAGAATAATTTCTCTCGATCATGATTGGCAACGTTATCTCAATCGATCTTTATTTAATAATTTGAGCAGATTTAACACGGTATTACCAGCATCGATAACCATCTGTAACACTCCATTTGTGTTGGAGAAAAATTATAGATAACGTGGATAAAGGATATAAGTTAAATATAAAAAGCACTCGAAGGGAAAAAATTTTTGAAAAATTGTTCGAAAAATCTATCATCGCGTTCTCGTGATTCCACAAGTGATTCCATAAGTGAGAAACGCCGTATGAATTTTTATTGAAACATTAAATTCGAAGATCTATCGAAGCACATATATTAAAATAAAGTATAAATATTTTGCTTGATGCATAAGTTTCAAAAAAAGAAATAAAAATTCGTGGAATTCGTGGAAATATTTTTCCTGTATATTTTGGGAATATTCTTAAAATTAAAAACAAATTATGATACAGAATTCAATTAAATCGAGATTATACATTATTTTATGTATACAATTTTACATATAATTTGAATATGTAATAAGATTCCCGGAGATGGATTTATTTAATTAAACATATTACTGATAAATTAACGTTACACGATTACACAATCGAACGAACGAAAAAGTTGTTGTCATCACATCAAGACTTTATTCTCATCGTATCTATATCTTCATATTCTTTTTTCTCAACTTTTGTCGCTTTATTTTACAATTTTTTACTTTTACCGCGCTAAAATATCCTCAACATTTCTTTGTTTCTTTAAAAATACCCCATAAATCACACCATTTTCCAATAACAAGTAAACCACAATGAAATTACCTCAGTTTTTTCCAATTTCAACGTCGCCGCTTCAATTTATCACACTTGTAAAACGGAAAAATATCGCGTGATATTTTCACGATTCAACAATTTTCGAATAACCACCGAGGCGATTGTTTGGAAAATAACGTCAGAGTTGTAAAATGAAAAAAAAAAAAAAAAAAAAAAAAAAAAAAAA